TACCTGGGAGATTTCTGAAAGGGCGTTGCGGTCCTCACTTGTAAGGGCTCTTGAGGATGTTTGAAGGCTTGTGAAACAGTGGGAAGGGCAGGGTACGGGTTTCGGAAGGGCTCTCGAAGGGCTTCGGGTTTAGGGCTCTGTTTTGCAAAATCGCAGGGCTCCACGAAGGGCTCGCGGTTTGGAGTGTAAGGAGGGGCTATGGTTCGGGTTTGCTGTTCGAGACCCTGCTAAATCCACCAAACTCTGGAACACTTACGTCCCAAATCGCCATGGAAGTTACGCACAACATGTTTTTTGACCTTCCTATAAAACAAATCGCAAACCGGCAAAGCCCAAGATCGTACCATGATGCACACAACGAAGTAGCCGTAGCTATAGCTACCTTACTTACAACCCTACCCTGCCCTACGTACCAAGTGCAGTAGTTCGTAGGCGTTTAGGGTTTAGGGTTTAGGGACATTGATTCGGAGTATCCCAAAGTAACATCCAACACATGTACTCGCCACTCTTCCTGAAGAGCCCTATCGAAATCTTCCAACATCCCTTACAAAAACTGCTTCCCGCAACCCAACACTCTAGTGTAGGGGCCCTAAGAATTAGAATTGGGTTTTGGGGCCCAGTATACTACAATTACAATAAGGAACCCGAACAGTAATATTGGAAATTATTGAGGCTTCTATATTAAACCCGGAATCATGAACCCAGCTGAGTGCCTCACGGCCGCACCCAGACTGTTTGGCGCCCATCCCGCCAGCAAACGTAGTATCCGAATCCCTGTTGAACGCAGTTGCTTCAGGCTCACATCTTCGAGGTTCAAGATTTAGGGTATACGGTTCAGTAACCCTGAACCCTAAACCCTAAACCCTAAACCCCTCAAGACTAAACCCTAAACGGCTCAAATTTCCGGGTTTAGCCTGTAGGGCTTCGAGATCAGGGTTGAGTGCTCAGGGTTCGGCGTTTTGGGGCTCCTATACGGTCAGGGTTTCGGGCTTAAGGCTTCACGGTTTAGGGTTTAGGGTCTAGGGTTTAGGGTTTAGGGCTTACTGCTTCATGGTTTAGGGTTTTGGGTTTAGGGCTGAGCGATTAGAGCTCAGGACTCAAGGATTATCTGGAGGCCCCAGTATGAGCAGCCTCCTAAACCCTAAATGCCCTAAACACTAAACCCTAAACTCTGAAGCCCTAAGCCCTAAACCCTAAAGCCTAGACCCTAGACTCTAAACCGTGAAGCCAAGCCCTAAACCCTAAACCCTGGACCCTAAACCGTGAAGCCTTAAGCCCTAAATCCTGACCGTATAGGAGCCTGGTAAAGTCAACAGTCAACATAAAGCGAACATGGAACCAGGATGGCCCTAAACCCTAAACCCTGTTTACCTAATAGAAGCCTTATAACCCCCTAAACTCCCCACCTGGTTTCACAAGGACTGCCGGTTTCTCAGCCCCCTGCTTTAAGTTAAAGGAAACTACAGGTGGGGAGTTTAGGGTATATAGGGTTTCTATTAGGCTTCTATAAGGTATATAAACCTTCTATAAGGCTCCTATAACCGTACCTACCCACCTGAACATGTCCTAGATTCAGGTTCCATGCTAGTTTCTTTGGCAATCCATAACCTCCATGAAACCTGCTAAGGCCCTGAACGACACAATAATACTGCCCTCGTTGAAACACTACCCCCTAACCCCGAAATCCTGAACCATAAACCCGAAACTCTAGACCCTCAACCCTAAAACCCTAAACCCTCAACCCTAAAACCCTAAACCCTAAACCCAAAAACCCTAAACCCTAAAACCCTCAACCCTTATCCCGAAACCCTAAACCCTAAAGCCCTAAACCCTTATCCCGAAACCCTGAACCCAGGGGCTGCCAAAAAAATGCAAAGCCTGCTACAGCGCTGAGGGGATTTTCTCCCGCACTGGTTTGAAAAGGCGGCTGCCCGCCGCGGCAGCTTTGGCCACGACGGGCATAAGATGGCATAAGCAGACATGCAAGAGGGTGGTTTAGGGTTTAGGGTTTAGGGCCTGCAACAGGGTGGTCCTTTTGAGGGAAACTTACAGCTCCCTAATTACACCCCGTTCCTTTGTAGATTAAGTCTCAACCCTAAACCGAACTGTCTGTTTCTTTACCCCCAACGCAGGGATGAGAGATCACACATCTGCATGCACACAATCAATCTGCGACAGTTGAGGCTTCAGCACCTTCTCAATATCCTAAGTAAGCCTCTACATCAGAGGGTTTAGGATCTAAGCTATACTGTAGTATCGGGGCCTTCATAATTAGAATAGGGTTTGGGGCGTTCTACACTTTATAAACTCAATAAGGAACCCTAGGAATCATTTGGCAATTGATCAGGCTTCGGCATTGCTTGTGTTGCGACGCTGGAATTTCATGCTGCGTCATCTGAACTCCGACCTGAATCCAAACCCTACAGTTAGGGTTTAGGGTTTGGGCTTTCCTATACCCGAAGCCCCAAATCCTAAACCCTCAACCCCAAACCCCCAAACTCCTTAAACCCCAAACTAAACCCTAAACTCCCGAAAACCCCAAACCCCGAACTCCCTGAATCCTGGTGTGCTCTTCTGCCTCACGGTTTAGGGTTTAGGACTTAGCGTTCAGGGCCCAAACTTTCTCGAGCCCTTCTCCGCTACCAAGTCCCGAGGGTTCCAAGTTCCCAAACGTTTAGGGTTTAGGGTTTAGGGTAGTTCTCTAAATTAGGGTTTAGGGTTTAGGGTTCAGGGTTCAGGGTTCAGGGTTCAGGGTTTAGGGTTTAGGATTTAGGGTTCAGGGTAGTTCACTCAAATAAATAGGGTCCCTCCTAAACCCTAAACCCTAAACCCTAAACCCTAAACCCTAAACCCTAAACCTTAAACCTTTCTAGGTCCCTTCTAGCAAGGGCCCTAAAAGAGACCCACGCTTAGAGAACCACCCGCAGGTTGGGCTTGGGGTGTAGACGTTGTTATGGGACTTCATGTCTAGCTTGCCAAACCTAGGGATCTATAGAAACATATAATAGGGTTTAGGGCTTCGGGTTAGGTTTAGGTTTTAGGGTTTAGGGATAGTAACTTAAACTAAGTTCCTTAAACTCTCAGCTGCCAGAAAACCGTTCCAATGGTACAGATCGGGCATGGTTCTTCTAGTTTTCCGGACCCAAACCCTGTGCCCTAAACTCAAAACCCCAAACCCCAAAGCCCTAATTAAACCCTAAACCCTAAACCCCAAGGCCCTAAACCCCAAACCCCAAACCCCAAAGCCCCAAACCCCAAAGCTCTACAACCCAAAGCCCTAAACTCAAAACCCCTAAACCCTAAAACCCTACACCTCTAAATCCCTTAACCTCAAAACCCCAAAGCCCTAAACCCTAAACCCTACACCCTAAACCCCAAACCCCTAAACCCTAAACTCTAAACCTCAAGGCCCTAAACCCCAAACCCCAAAGCCTTAAACCCTAAACCCCAAAGCCCTAAACCCTAAGCCCCAAAGCCCTAAACCCCAACACCGTGATGACTTCAGGGCTCATCATGTTGAGCACTTGGACCCTCGAGGAAAGCTGCTCAGAGAGCAGAAGTCGATAGACCTCATTTAGAGTTTGATTAGGGTTTAGGGTTCAGTGTTTAGGGTTTAGGGTTCAGTATTTGGGGTTTAGGGTTCAGGGTTTAGGATTTAGGGTTTATGGTTGAGGATTTAGGGTTTAAGTTTAATCAGGGTTTAGGGTTTAGGGTTTAGGGTTTAAGTTTAATCAGGGTTTAGGGTTCAGGGTTTAAGTTTAATCAGGGCTTAGGGTTTAAGTTTAATTAGGGTTTAAGGTTTCGGGGCAGGGCGTTGGGTTCTCTCTCGTCTTGATATAGACACTTTTTGCAAGAAGGCGCTGACAAGGGAAAACCTTATGACCCTTAGTTTAGGGTTTCAGGGTCATAAACCCTACACTAAACCTTAAGGGTTAAAAACCCTATGACCCTAGGGTCATAAGCCCAATACCTTTAAATCCTAGGGTTT